TTTGCTCCAGAGAAAGTCCCCTAGGGCTTCACCTTTCTTAGGGTTGCAGGTCTGCTGTGTGAGGCCTTTGTGGGCTGTGGACACAGGCTGCTGCAGCCCACACAAGTCGCTGACCTCAAGAACTGGCTGCACTGAAACTTCTGGATCCAAACTCATCAGCTAAAGTGGTGAAACCACTCACTTCCTCCCTGACTTGCCCAGAGACTGAGGCTGTGCACAATCCTTTTTAAGTAAACTGCCAGAACAATCAGCACTCCTGACAAACAGTTTGAGGTACAAATCTAGGCACTACTTGGTGTAAAACCTTAAAGCACATTTCAAGGTTGCTTGAGTTTAGTGTCTCCTGGATGGCAACCCTTATGAGCCCCAAATAAACATAATATTTCTTTGTTTTCAGCTAGATTGATGTGATCTGAGTTAGCAAAATTTTAAATTATGTCCAGGATATTTACTTTGAATACTATTTTAGTTATTTCAGAATAACAACTTTTAGAAGTAATAAAATTACTTTCTTTTCATCTCCAAAGAAAGAATCATTCCCAAGTGTATTTCTGCCAACTTGAATTTTATGTGTGCGCATGCCAGTGTTCCCTCCTTTACCTTGGGGAGTTTCGTCATTTTCTTTCTTTGTTTCCGATACCTTAAAAGCTTATCACGCTCCTGCAAAAACCAGTTAGAGAGGTTTTTTTAAGTAGCTGAACAGCTCCAACAGTTTATTCATAATGTTTCCACCCTGTCATGTGGACTGGCGTAGAAGTGGCCTTAAGACTGGTAGGTTGTCCCTGTGGTCATAAACACAGGGTATTTTGCACAGAAGCCTGGGGTAGCTCTTCCTCTTTGCCAGCCTGAGACTCGTGAGCCTCCACTTATGTGGGCTCTGTGCTCCTTCACTGCCCTCCATCAGCCATCAGCTCCTGTTCAGTTTGCACCTTGTGGGCAGTGGCTGGGGGCTGGTGGAAGACATGGGATGTTGGAGATCTGATGGCCCAGAATTCTCCTGTGCCCCATAAACAGTGTCCACACTTGTGATTAGACAGCTGCTTCTGTTTACACTGCAAGGAACCATCAGCACAGAGTAGGCCCCGTGGCCAGCCACCACAAGACAAGGGGGCTGTCAGGTACGGAGAGAGACACAGATTGGTACTTACTAACACGCTCTTTACATAGCCGGCAGTTTCAAGGGTCTAGGGAAAGAAAACAGCATGTTATAGAATAGAAGGTGCAGACTTTGCTCCTGTAGGGGCCTGCAGAGCCTTGGAGTGACCCTAGAATCCCCATTGCACCCTAGCCACAGAATCATGTTGCTCATGAGAGGGAGGAGGTTCCACCCTAACTATCCTTTTTCCTTTTTGGAGTGGTTCTCCTGAGGGCTGCCTGAACATTCCAAGCCCCAGGAACTTCTGTTCAGGGCTGATGGGCCTTCTGCTCACTGGGCAGCAGGAGAAAGAGACCTTCAGAAATTGCAATTATGTGTATGTAACTGACCAAGATTTCATGCTTTTCCTACTTCTCTTGTAAAATCCTGTTATTGTTGAGATTGATGATCACTGTGTTATTCAATAAGAAAAGAAATCAGAGCTTAGGCATGACCAGGGTAGACTGCCTTACTGACACTCCCCTCTAAACACCTGATGTTTGGACTTGTGGACTCTAGAATTATGAGGATAAACTGCAGGATTTTTAGTCACCTAGACTATGGTGATTTGTTACTAACACAGACAGTGCTGTTAGCCTTGGGACTCCAAGGAGTAGAGTAGAGAGGAGACAACTAGGACAGAGCTGTCTAGGGAGGACTACCTTGAACAGTGACCATAGCAGGGGACACAGCCTGAGATGGCCCCACAAATGCTTGCCCATTTTTCCTTCCCTCCATCTCCACCCCCGGGGAGGCAAGGAACGGCAGGAGTGTGTGGTATGTGGTCACCTTGGAGAGCTCATCAATGAGGCTCTGCTGCTCTACAATTTGAAGCTTCAGGAAGTCCACCTCCCTCTCATCCTGACTTTGATCAAGGTCGTTTAGGGAGCTGGGTCTCCGGATGATCCCGGCTCTCTGCCTCTGAAACACCAAGTGGGCTGTGTCACAAGTGGCAGGAACGTGGTCTGGCTGGACGGTAGAGCTGGGGTCGTTCCGTTGTGCCTGCAGGAGCAGCTCTTGGTCACCTTGGCTGCAGGCTGCTCTGCTCAGGCCTTGGAGCAGCTGGCTGCAGAGCCCAGGGAAAACTGAAGGCTATGTCTTGGCTGGTCCCCACAGTTAGAGCAGGGCTGTGGAGCCTAGACATCACACACAGCCCAAGTCTGTCCAGAAGGGGATCCCACTGCACCCCTCAGGAAGAGACTGTAGAGCTACTTGCACCTGTGACCTTCTCCAGAGCCCATAGCACAGGTTGAAGAGAAAAGGCCTTTCTATCAGGAAGGGCCTGAGGGCATTCGTGCAGCTGCCCCCACCCCCAATCATGCTGAAATACTCTTTGGGCGAACTTGCTTCATGGCCACTGGGGACCTTGCGGCCAGAAGGAATTTGAAAACACCACTAACTACATGTGGTAAAACTTAAGAGGCCAAGGCTAGAGTGGAGCTTCCCTTAACCAAGGCTCTGTGCCAAACCTACTCCTTCTGACCCTCTCCATGGCCAGGATCTTAGGGCTTCTTGTCACTTCATCTGGGATTTTCAGAGTTGGGACCTCACTAGCCCAAATCCCTGGCACTGGACTTGGGCAGAGAGGCCTAGATGGGAAGGGGTGTGTGACTGGCTTAATGGCCTGCTTAGCTCTGCCTTTCGGCCCTAGCAGGCACAACACACTTCCTTCCCATGATCAGTTCTTATCTGAGGCTTCTCTCTTACAAGAAGGCTCATCTTGGTTCCTTGCCCACGAGACCAGACTTGACCCTGAGGTCCCAGTGCCTGGCAGACTCTGTTGTCTCATTAGATAACACAGAGAAGTAGAGGGCATTGTTGGCTGGGTTGAGCATAGGTGCTGCCTTGCCACCTGGTGGGTCCTTACCATTTCCATGTTCTCCTGGGTGACAAATTTCAACTTGCTTTCTATTCGCCGTAATGTGTGAGACAAATCTTCATTTTTCCGAGTAAGGCGTTTGTTTTTATCCAGTAATGGCTTGTACTGACTTTCAGCTTCTCTTAAACGCTTTAACTGAAATAAAAGTTAATTAGGCAAGATGATTTTTTTAAGTGACAGAAAACTGATACGTCTCTACTCATAGTCAACAAACTGACCAGATAAAGCTTCACCTCAAAGACAGGATTACCAACCCACTAGGGCCATCTCTGTCTCCTCAGGGTCTTGGTGCCAGGACACCAAGAACCCCTAAATCTGCACATGCTCAAGTCCCTTCTATAAAGCAGAGGGTGTACTATTTGTACATAATCTACACGTATACTCCTGTAAATGTGAAATAATTTTGGATTATCTATACTACCTAATACAATGTAAATGCTTTGTAAATAGATGTTACCCTGTATTGCTTACAGAATAATGCCAGGGCCAAAAGACAATGCAAGTTAAGTAGAGATGAACTTTAAAAATAGTTTTGATCCACTGTTGGTTGAAGCCACAGATGTGGAACCTGTAGATACAGAACCAGCAGACACACAGGGCCATCTGTATTTGCAAAGTTTTCCTAGGCCCCTAGTGGAGACCCCAGGCCGACTCCAGGCATGCAGACCCAGGTGATTTTTGAATGGGGATAAAGTTGAGGAAAGCATTCTGGGACCCATATTATTTGTAAAATAACAGTAAAATTACAGAGGCCCCTTTGACTCTTCCAGACACTTTGAGCAGCTCTCATACCCCTCCAGGAGATCAAGTCACTAAGAAATTTCAATGGCTATGAAGACTCACAGTGACAGCTACATGGAAAGGCAGCCTCCTCACACATGCCAGGTCACACGCAGAGCTCCAGTAACACAGAGCAGGGGCCAGCCAACCAGCACATGGGGACCAAATTTGGCCCACCCCTATTTTTGTTAATAAATTTACTGAAAGAGTGAAGAAGCCTATATGCAAGGCTGGCCCTTGTTAGCGTTACTTGTCCTTTCCCCAAAGAGGTCTGGAAGTAGACACGCCCCAGATTTCCTCATGCTTCAGCCACAAACCTGTAAGACCCAAAGATCCTCCACCTCACCACTCACCAGCTCATTCCTTTCTTCTGACAGCAAGGCATTGCGGTCCTCCAGTTTACGAATGATAGCACTTAACTCTGCAATTTTAAGTTGGAAGCGCCGGGCATCTTTTTCATCCAACTGCTGTTCCTAAAACAAAAATCAACTGCAAATAACTGTTCCTAGATACAGATATGTAAGATGTTTGCAAACACAACCCACTATAGAAACCAAATTCTTCTGCATGGTGACTGCCCTTGCTTCCAGTTGGCTGCTGGTGGATGTGGACTCTCCTGGGAGAGATACTATGCCTTGAGCCCATGCACCGCAAAACTGCAAGATGAGGACAGAACTGAAGCAGAAATGTCTGGAAGTATGCAAATGTGGAGGTCAAGAGCATGCAAATGCCAGCACACAAGAGTGGTGAGGACCAGTTACAGGCTTTCTTTGTGGCTGCCTAGCTGCATCTTGCAGACAGGGGCCTGCCTGACCTGTCAGCAGGCAAGTCACTTCCATAGGACGGGCACAGGAAAAGACACACATTACAGACTTCTGAAAGTTGCTTTCCCAACAAGTGTGCTCCCTCAAATTGAGTTTCTAGAGGGTCACTTTTGCCACTGGAACACCATTTAAAGTCAGTGAAAACATTTTAATCCAGTTTCAATCTCTGGAGTGAATGTAATAGTCTACAAAGCACCAGAGCAGGAGGGGATGGTTCTAACTCAGTTAAGCTGTTTGCAATGACCACAAAATGCTGTTCTCTGTTCTTATAATGTCACTGTCCCACAGCTGGCTCAGCTCAAACAGTTTTCCTGCTGGGGTCCTCTAATTACATAAAAGAATGTCCAGGAAGGTACTGGACATGGCTCGAGTTCCTCATTCAATGGGTGCAGGAGAGGCTAGGGACCAAAGACCCAGAGGGACCAATGACGCAGAGGGACCGTGTCAAGGGTCCATGGATTTAGAACTCCCAGGATATTGCAGACCAATGCAAAGGAATCTGGATGAGGAGCAGCGATGAGGAGATGGATGGACTTGCATCCTGTATGACGGACAGCAGACCTGCATGGTCATTTACAGCTCATGGAGGAGCAGAAGGTGGCATGGTCACATGAAAAGCAGGTGGCAGTGTGACTGGTGATGTGAGTGCCAAAAACAACTGCAAGAGGGGCCAAGTTGGAGAGGAGGGTGGGTGGCAGCCAGAAGCCTGTGCACATGGGGATGGACGCAGCACATGTTCCAAGCACCTCATTTCCCACCAGCCAAGGGTAACAAGTATCAAGGACCCTTAATCTACATGGGGAGCCAGGAGGCAAAAGATTAGCGGTTGCTTTTGGAAAAAGGAGACAGTCTACTAGCCCTCTTAACCATAGCTAATAAAGCAAAGTCTCAGAGGCTGACTGGAGGGCATCAAGGGCTGTCCACCTGGGCTTGGGCCAGGGAGCTGCCCACATGGGCTATGCAGCCACATGGTGCTGTGTGTCTGAGACTCTGGGCCAGATGGGGTGAGGCCTGGGGGTGCTTACAGGGCTTCCTGAGTGGTCTGAGGCATCTCCTGCACCGCTTGCATAAGGAAGTTCCCGTCTGGGGCTGCCTGGGTGCCGCTCAGCCTCTCTGGCCTGGGAAAGCTGCTCATCTAGAGCCTCTTTCTGGAGCTGCAGTTTCTGGGCATGCCCGGCTTGAACCCCTAACTCTCTCTCCAGCACGAAGACTGCTCTGTCTTTATATTTTATCTCCTCCATCTACAAGGAGAACAGAACACAATCACACAGGCAGGCAAAGTACAGATCTTCAGTTACTATAGAAACAGGCAAAGTGACATCGGAAGGGGTCCCCATAGCAGCAGCCCTGCCAGCATCTTGGGTTGGGAGACCAGAAGCAAAGCAGACCATCCTAAATGAGAGACAGGTATTCCACACCCCAGGCTGCTGTACCACACCCTGGCCCTGGGCCACCTGGACTCAGCTGGTTTATCCCAGTCTGTTGTCAGCTAAGGGCTCCTTCCTGAGAGGACCCAGGCTCTGTATACCCCTGCACCACCTCCCTGGCTGTCCAACAAGACTCCCCATGCATACTCTCAGTGCCCATGGGCACAGGCATGATCTGGTAGGGTTGAGGGAAGTCTCCCATGGCTCTTGCTTCTTACTGTGCACTGGGCAGAGCAGGGTAACACCCCAAATCAGCCATATACACCAACATGGAGGGTATAATGGGCAAATCTCTTCTGTATGTGGCAGGGATGAAAGTGATGAATAGGAGTCCTGGACTGAAAGCTCTCAAAGCCCCTTTTAGCCCTGACTGCTCACCATCTCTGAGAAGTGCCAGGTCAGAGGAGGGCTGGGTGGTGTGTGGGGCTACTGCTGTCATCCTTTGCCATCAGCCTCTCCTGGCTCTGGGGCGTAGCTACAAAGCTGGAGAGGTGCACAGCTGGTTTCAGGCAAAGCTGCATTTCCTACAAATCTCGTTGCAAGCCAGTGTTTTCAGGGTGTGTTGAGGGCATCTGGACAGGCACGCTCCAGGAGGCAGACGCCCAGCATGTCTGTGCCATCCTAGGATCTGCATGCTGGCCAGGCTGGTCCCAGTGAGGCTTCTGTACCATTGACCACCTTCTCTAAAGGGTGCTGTTCTTTGCATTTGCCTTCTAATGGGAGTGAGAAACCCTTCCACACACAGCTACCACCTGCCTGCATTCAGGGCCTCTCACAGGGGCAGCTCCATATACTCATGCATAGTTTCAGGTGCATCCTGCCAAGTGCACCACGCACATGGACAGAAGGTGCAACTTGGGTGCTCTGGGCTAGAAATAGCACTAGATTTACAAGAAGAAGACAATATCTCTGGGGGAGAACAACTCAGTTCAAACCATATTTTCAAATAAGGAAGCAGAGTAGGCCTCTTGCTGTTCTGCTTACTGTTTAAGGTTAAAATAAGTGAATAAGTCAGCCATCTGTTCAAGTTAGCTTGGAAACAAAGAGACGAGATGTCTAATTAACCCAGATCACAAATTCCCAGGCAAGCTATGAACAGAGCAGAATACAAAAAATCCTTAATTGCTAAATTCCTGTTTACTGGCACACACAGCAGTATGGAAAGAGGTAGCAGAGCCAATTAGTGAGACAAAGTAGCCAGTGAAAGCGGAAACCACATCAGTAGGCAGATCTGCTCTGGGGCCTTGCACTTAAACACAGACATTTATTAACATCATATCTCCTCCACCAGGAAACAAAAAAGTGAGGCTCCACTGACCCCTTGGGAGCCTGCTTGGCTTACAGGGCCAACCTGTGTGTGAAGCCACCAGGCAGGAAGGTAGACAGTCTGCCCACACAGAGCCGCAGGGACCCCCACCAAGGAAGGGTGGGAACAGCGCTGTCATGCAGGCACAGGATGCTCACTTGGGAGTTCGTGACAAAATCTCCCAGAGCCATGGGTCTTTCACAGCAAGATTTCTCAGCCTAGTGTGTACATCTGTGTTCTATTTCCTCTATCTTAGGCCTGAGGTCTTGGTGGGAAGGACAGTGTGTGCCTGCAGGATGCTAGATCTGGCCCAGGTCGAAACGCTCTGTGGAGCTGGACAGATCCTTACTCAAAATGAGCTGCTTCTGAGCCAGAGCACACATACGAACATGGGTAATGCGATGGCAGTGTTCGTGTGAGCAGCCTGTAAAGCTGTGGCAGGGAATGCAGGACTGGAGGCTTCCTGCACGTGCAGACCCACATCCACGCACACGGCTCCCCTCTTGCAAGGGGTTTAACCAAGTGTCTGCTAGTACTGCCGCAGGCTGAACGCTCTGGCACACTGAGTAGCAGCTGACCCTTTCTCTCCATAAGGCTGTGGAGTTCAGAGGACCATGTGCATCAGAGTCAATAGGGAGACGTCTAGCTCACCCCCTGCACAGGGTGTAGCCTGGCGATAGCACTTTACAAGCACCCATGCTAATGGTGAAGAATCCGGACATGATCCAGCCACCATCCTGCAGTGCTGAGGTCCAATGTACACAGTGCTCATCAAGGATGCCTGTCTCACAGGATGCATCACCCTGGTGGGTTACTTTCAGCTGTGGCTGCTCCCACCTGTGCTGGCTGTGCCTGAGTATTACACACAGGGTCTCTGCTTAAGTATCAGCAGAGTATAGCAAGGGTACTCAGAGAAGGACAAGTGCCCTAATCTGCAAAGGCCACCTGATCCAAGTAATGGGACCTCCCCCATGACAGAGGTGGCTCACTCCACCTCCACCTTCTTCTTCCAGAAGGATCTGCATGTCAGGGGACTCTCCCTGCCTATAAGCTCTGTCCATGGGTAATCTGAACACCAATGTGTCTGACACGCCAGAGGAGGCAGCTGCTTCCCAGTGGATATGTGGGAGGTGAGGAAGGATGTGGTGTGTTTTCTAGAGGGTGCTCATTTTTCTGGAGGAAGGATCCTGGAGCGGCTTCATGAGGTGCTGAGTGAGAGGAGAAAGAGCCCTGTTACCCAGTCTCAAAGCACTCACAAAAGCTAATTTTAGATGGATGATATAATTAAATGTTTAAAACATCATCCAGAGGGCTGGGGATTTAGCTCAGTGGTACCCCAGCCTGCCTTGCAGGCACAAGGTCCTCAGTTCAATCCCTCCCCCAAAATCATCCGGAAGCCTACACAAAAATATCTGTATGTGCTGAGACAGACAAAGGTCTTTTAAACAGGACACAAACAGCACATAAAGGAAGTGATAAATTGGATTTCCTTACAATTAAGAGCTCTTGTTCATCAAAAGGCATCACTGAGAATATGCTTGGGTTAGCCACAGACTGAGGAAGACAGGTGCACTGCACTCATCTGACAGACTTTGAGAAATAATTCATACAATCACTCAAGAAAACACACATACTCCAAGTGAAAAATGGGCACAGATGTGAACAGATGCTTTACAAAAGACAACGTGCAAGCAGCCACAAGAATGGTGAGATTTCTTTTTTGTTGTTTGAATGAACGGCAATACTGACACTGGCAGGGATGTGTAATAGAATGGGACCCTATCCGAAGACAGAGGAGGGTGTTGATTCACCCACCTTGGAAAGCTGTCAGAATCTTCTAGTAGGCTAAGCATTTGCTCTCCCTGTGACCTAACACATTGCCTCTGCCCTACAGATACCAGAAGTGTAAGAATATGTGGTCACCCAGGGCGTGAAAGAAGTATTCCTAATAGTGCAAAATTGGAAACACATTTGGCCTTCTCTGAAGGCCATTTGAACACACTGTGACAGACCCATGCAGCACACGCTCTATGATATGGTTCGTATGGAGGCAAAGACAAGCAAAAGCAATTAATGGGAAGGAAGGGGTCTTGGCTAAGAAGGGGTTTGTAGGTGTTCAGAGTCTGATCTCAGTGGTGGCTGTATGGTGAATAGATGCCAAAATTCATAAAGCTTTTCATTTACTGTACAGACATTATTTCCATGTTTTCACAAAATGTGTAGAGGAACAAATCCTGATGCCCAGGCTCCGGAAGTTCTGGTTGAATGGGTTTGGGTAAAGCCTGGGTGTTGAGATGTAGGTTCTTCCCAATGTATCCCAAGAGATGGCTCAGTGGACATTGGAGGCCAGGCAGCTGTAGATAGATACTTTCTGGCAAAGAGTCTTACCCCTGGGGACCTCTCTCACTTTGTACAGAGGGGCACACATCTGCACCAGCAAGGATTTGCTCCCAGGGATCAAATAAATAAGCCATGATCTTGGCATCATCTATCTGTGGCTGGCTTGGATTTGCAATCAGAAATCTTTGGCAAAATCTAAAGCATCACCAAGGAACTACTGGGGACTCTGAAAAAGCTGCTGTTGCATCCCATTTTTGAGTAAAAATTTGTGTTTGAACTCTATATGGGTCCAATGAAGAGGAAGGGCCTTCAAATTCCTGGGCACTTACCTGAGGTAAAACTTCTGGTAAAACAAAAGTTGTGGAAATGCAGGAACAGGCTACGCTTCCAGCCTACCAATCTACCCCAGCAAGTAACACTTTGGGAGGAATCAATCTATCTTTATAGCTATCTTTTTACGAGGTTTTAATTACTGTTGTATATTAGCATTCAACATTAACTAGCTGCCTAAAAAATGGAGGAGGGGATAATATTACAAATCACAGATTTTTATGAGACAGAAAAAATTGCATTTTGCTGGTAATTCTTCAGTTTTATAGAATTTTTAATAACAACCTGAGCTTGTATTTTAGCAAATGCATTGTGTGCAGTAACTGCATGCACAGAAAAGCTGTCTCAGATTCAGTAATAACCCTGCACAAATGTGTGGCTGTCTCCAGGGACTGCAGTAGAGCACAGCTCTTCCTCAGTGTGTCACAGGCTAAAAGCTCCAAGAAGATGGGGGTGTAACATGGTCATCCCAGCCTAAGCTTACAGAAGACATCACAGCAAACAAACCGGAACCTTTGGGTGTCAAATATTTTCTCCTTCCATTTCACTCTGATATACATGAAAAATCTGACCAAGAAAACCACCAGCAACACATCTTTTCTCGAAACCTGTATAGGATGCACACAGAAGAAGAATCATCTCCAGGGACCTCTGTAAAATTAGGGAAGGGAGAGTTACAGCAGAATTTCTGGGGGCTAAAAATGGTGTTGATCAGGCTTTGCCAGAGAGGTTCTACCTGGAGATTGTGTCCCAATACTCTTGCCTGAGCTGTTCTGATATGTGCAGGAGTGGAGAGGCAGATCTGACCAGCCAGACCTCACACTGTGACCTTCTGGGT